CTCTCCTTTTTTACTGAACCATCGAGTGCAGGGGTTATTCCTCAGGTCACAAAAATGACATTCGTCTGTCCTCCGGTGCCATTTGGCGCCAATGTGCGCTAATTTAGTGCTATATTTTTCCTCAAAAATGAGCCGAGCGGAAGTGGTATACTCGAAATCCCTGAGATCGATAGACGTGGCCGCATGTTTCAACTTAACCTGGAGGTGTTTATGCTGGTGTGGGATCAATTCGTTGTTGTCTCTGTCCAACAGAGAAAGATGATTGTTGTCCCAAACCGGAATATTCCGCGAGTAACCAATCCCGAATGCCACGCCTACTCTGGCTCAGGGATAAGGAGTGTACTTGTGTTCAAAAGGTCAAACCAACTCAGGAAACGACTGCTAAGCCAAGTCTGTCCACATAGAAAGAAAGTTGGTCGAAAGTTGGCTTGGTTCCGGATGTCTGAGGCAGTAAAGGGTTGACAGTGCCTATAGTTTTTTCAGCGCTACTCAGCGCTAGGAATCCACCTGCACTCGCCGTCGCCTTTTTTCGCTAAAGTCGTATCTGTTCTGGAGGAGTGATTTCCTCCTTCTAAGGCAAGCTCAGCCTCAGCATCGCATTGATAACCCTTGTGCCCTACGCTAACGTTCCTGCTAAAAATGAATGTCATATCAATAATAAGGACAGCGAATAACCCTAGTATCCAAGTTCCCATCAATTTGGGTGGAAGAGGTGATAGCACCAAATTGGCGCCCATTGGCGCCAGTTGGCGCTGGGACCTGTAGTGAACGTCATATTCGTGACCAGACCAACAAAAAGCCCTAGTATGTAACTTTTCCTGAAGTTTGGTGAAAAAAGGTAGTGGTGAGCTGGCACCATTGTGGCTTTGATGAAAAAGTGGTGGCGCCAAATTGGCGCCTAATGGTGCCAAATGGCGTCAAACACCGCCGGCGCCAGAAACGGACGTCATATTCGTGATCGGAGCACTGAGTAACCCCTATGGGCCATTTCAGGAAGAATTTTCCAGAGGTTTTGGGCTCAGGTGCTGCTAGTTGAATCGTGCCTGGGACCCTTATATCTGAAGATCTCGTTGGTCCACTATTTGCATAAATTAACAAAGGTATGAAGACTTGTACCACTGGGAAAAGTTCCTCGAAGAACTCGAACTGTTTCTAAAAATTTCATCAAAAGCCCGTCCGCCACATATGGTGGACATGGTCCGAAGTGGACATTTCGGTGTCCACCACCAGTGGCGGACATTGTCACGAATGGGTTAACACGTTGACGACATCCTGAGCCACCGGTGGCTCATGACTTTCTCCATCACTTTTTGGGTTATTGCCGGCAGTCTCAATCGATCTTTTTCTTGCTTTCGAGTAACCTGTGGAAGGTGAGTTTCCAACAAGGATGAGCAAGAAAAATGTTGCTGCCCCCATGAGATATTTTGAATTAAAAATTGAAATTTTTCAACTAGCTACTGCTGCGGCTGAAACCTCCAAAATATTTTTGGACGAAACCTTGGCTGCAGGGACTGCGCGGGTCTTTGATCATGAACGAAGATCTCATTTGTCATTGGCGCCAGCGATCTTTTTGACACCGAATTGGATAGAAACCTCTACACCTAACTTATTTGACATCCTTGTCACGAATGTATCGTTGTCTTCCAAAGTTGGCGCCACCTGGCGCCAGCGGGCGCCACT